ATTTGAAAACCACAGACAGAAAAGGCAAAGAAGAGACCCTCCCCCCATTTAGAAAATAGGGACAGACACACAGAAAGCTATCATTTAAAAAACAAGACCAGTGGTACGTGGGTGGTAAAATAATATCTGACCAACTCCCATTGAAATCAATATGGCTCTCCATTTAAGCTGAGCCAGGAGATGGGTTAAGTGGACAGCGAAAAGACATTTCAGATTCTAAACCAGGAGTTCAGGCAGGAATTAACACAGTGAACTCTGGGGAAGAGACAAGAATCAGGACAACAGGGCAGGCCTCTCATAGAAGTTGGGTTAAAATGATGAATTGGGAAGTTTAAAAAGGTCCAAATGGAGTGAACTGAAAGATAGTGGATTGTTGAGCAAAACATGGGCATATTTCACAGGTTATGCAAAGTACGCCATTGCTACAGTGATTCTCAAGGGAGTGCTGTCATTAGTGAAAAGAAAATGAAACGTCAGTGATGTCTTGCCAAAAGGGCAAAATGGAAGTTAAACGTGTTATTTATCATACAGAGAGAGCTGCTAGTCTCCAAAAGTAAAGTGGCTGTTCTAAATCACTCTTCACAGTTGCACAGTGATTTCAAAGAGTTTTGCTCTCCCATCTTCCCAGCCAAAGGTCAGATATTGCATCAAAGCACTTACCACCTCATTTGGGAAACAGGAGGAAGAGCCTGTGAGAATGTAAGAGGTATGGGTATGTGCATGTGTGCAGGGGTGAAGGAATCTAGTTGGTGAATAATTTGGATCATGAATCTATTGATTACAATGACTGAAGCTTTTATCAAGATTTAAGGAAATTACAAAATGTTGAAAGTCAATCAGACTAATTCACCAAAACATTGGCATTATATAAAATGCAACAAACTCACTGGACAAGGGAAATGTGTCATAACACTATGCTCTACAAGGAATTGTTTTATGGATCCTAGACAACAACCTCATTCTTTCCTCCTCAGTCCACACTCACAATGAGCCATCTACAAATTTATATTAGCAGGAAGAAGAGGACAAGTACACAGTAATATACCACAACATTATTAGCAGTTCTTCCTGAACAGTGGAGAAATTAGTGGAAATTAAATTAAGATTTACATGTCCCAAAATAACTGTCAATTATATTTATTTTTAAATGTCCCCATTTCAGTTTTATAATTAGCTGACATCTTTGAACTATTTTCCACAGAATATTCAATTTAAACTCATAATGATAGTGGAATCTATGTGGTTCTAGATTCTGTGTGCCAATGGTTAGCTCAGAACATATTTTATCCAGCTGAGCCATCCAACAAGGATGCAAATTGTAATAGGTCAGATTCTGTTCCACCTATTAGGCACATAAGTGCCCTTCACCACATTCCTGTTATTCTATTCAGGCCCTGTTCAAGTCCATGAAAAACAGTTAATACAAAAAGTGGGTGTATCCTCCTTCTCATCACTGCTTTTTTGTGTCTCATTCTTACAGTAAAATGACAGGGTGCTACAAAAGTAGATGCATTAATGGATTTTCAGGGACTTGAATAGGGTAGAATAGAATTGCACGTAGGCACCTAAGTCCACTTAGACATCTAATACATGTAATAGAATCTGGCCCTATGGGCACCTATACACGTTGGATGTCTGCTCTGATGCATGCTAATTGGCATGCTTCAGCAGTTTCCGTGTCATGTGTATTCAGCCTGCTTTAGTCAAATGAGCTTCCATTAAAGTGTCCTCACTGCCATTTTGAAGCATGGGATGATGAATACACGTGATGCTGTGGGCACTTTAATTAGAGTGGCTCTCAGAGACACTTTAATTTGAGCATCCTCCCCACCCATCCTGGAGCCTGATATGTAAAGATGCCTGACATGTCTAGTTGACTGAGAACACAAAGGGAAGGTAACAAACTACCATCAGACAACAACTTGGGTCAATATTTTGGACTAAATAAGACTTAGACATAGATTCATAGATGTTTGGGTTGGAAGGAACCTCAGCAGGTCATCAACTCCCTGCCCTGGGCAGGAAAAAGTGCTGGGGTCATGTGATCCCAAACAGGTGCTTCTCCAGTCTCTTCTTGAAGACCCCCAATGTAGGGGAGAGCACCAACTCCTCTGGAAGCCCATTCCAGATTCTGGCAACCCTTACTGTGAAGAAGTTCATTCTAATGTCCAACCTAAATCTGCTCTCTGTCAATTTGTGGCCATTGTTCCTAGTTACTCAGTGGGTGCCCTAGTAAACAGAGCATCTCCTGTTTGCTGCTGCCCTCCCCTGATGAATGTATAGGCAGCCACAAGATGACCTCTCAGCCTTCTCTTGCAAAGGCTGAAGAGATCCAGGTCCCTCAGTCTCTCCTTGTAGGGCCTTTCCTGCAGGTCTCTGACCATACGAGTGGCCCTCCTCTGAACTCTCTCAAGATTCTCTGCACCCCTCTTGAAGTGCAGCACCCAAAACTGGATGCATTACTCCAACTGCAGCCTGACCAGTGCCACTTAGAGGGGATCTCCTTGGACCTGTTCGTCATGCATCTGCTAATGCATGATAAAGTGTGGTTAGCCTTGTTGATCACTTTGTCACATTGACAACTCATGTTCATCTTGGAGTCAATGATGACTCCAAGATCCCTTTCTGCTGCTGTGCTGCTGAGAAGGTCATCCCCCAGCCTGTAACTGTGTTGGTGGTTCTTTTTGCCTAGGTGAAGCACTTTGCACTATCTTTGTTGAACTGCATCCTATTTCATTCTGCACATTTTTCCAACCTGTCCAGATCCACCTGGATCCATTCCCTACCCTCTGGTGTGTTAACTCTGCCCCATAATTTGGTATCATCTGTGAACTTGGACAGGGTGCTCTCCATGCCCTTGTCCAAGTCACCAATGAAGACATTGAATAGCATGGGTCCAAGGACCGAGCCTTGCAGGAATCCACTGCCCACATCTTTCCAGGTCGATATCAACTCGTCCACCACCACTCTCTGAGTGTAACCCCTAAGCCAATTTGCCGCCCATCTGACCGTGTAATCATCTACATCACAGCCTGTCAGTTTAATTACAAGAATAGAATCAGATACTGTATCAAAGGCCTTCTTAAAGTCTGGGAAGATGACATCTACCTCGACTCCTGCATCTAAGCTTTTTTTGACCTGGTCATAAAAAGAAACAAGGTTAGTCAGGCAGGATCTACCTGCAATGAATCCGTGCTGATTTCCTTTCAGCATTATTTCCCCTGTTGGGCTCCTACAATGTGATCCTTAATGATTTATTCCAGAGTTTTACCAAGGATAGAGATGAGACTAACTGGCCTATAGTTTCCTGGTTCCTCCCTCCTTCCCTTCTTGAAAATGGGGGCCATGTTGGCCCCTTTCCAGTCCTCTGGGATCCGAGTGGAGTACCTTGAGTGCTCAAACAGCTGTGCCAGCAGCTCTGCTATTACACTGGCTAATTCCTTCAGCACCCTTGGATGAAGTTCATCTGGGCCTGCTGACATGAAGAACAGCAAGCCACTAGCCTGGGCTAGTTGGCTCTCCCAGATTTTTTTTGAACATTTAGTTTACTAATTTGAAACAATATAGAACAATTAAAATGACTATACATTTCACTCAGATTTTATAAAATGTATAATATGACAAATTAGACATATGTAAAATGGAGTGTCTACAAGTAGTTTTTTAATGTGGTCTTGTGGAATATCTTTTATTAGCAGTGAGATACTTGGGGGGCGGGGAACGGCCCTGGGATGGTGCTGAATTGGTGGGGGGAGGGAAACAAAAACAAAAAAGCATCTGCTGCAGGTTTGCAATCACAGTGGCAACCAAAAGTCTCCACTTCCACTTAGTCCTAGGCACTCATCCCTATACTACTGCTTATTGGTATTACATCTTTCCTTTTTCATGTCCTTGAGACAAGGTATTTAGCAACAAGGTACTTAGCAGAATTTGCAGATTCTGACAGGCCACAAGTGCTTCTGCTGCAGCCTCAAACTTGCAACCTCTGGGCTGTCAACTGTGGGCCTTTGCCCCAATGCCACCACAGCCCCAAATATAACAACTAATAAAGAACACTGTCAGTCACTGCACTTGCATTAGCATATTAAAGACTACTTAGTTATGAAGTGCAAACATTTTAACTACCCATTTTTAAAACCAACTTTCAAGTCCTGTTAAATTATCTTAAGTGACCTCACAATATTTTACTGTGTTGAACATCAGATGAATATTTCACCAGTCTTTTCTTTATGACAGTGTTTTTATGGAACAGAATAAATCAAGATTTTATCTCTGCCTAATTTTCATTACAAACATTGTACATTTGCTTTGTCTAAGATAAAGGCGAAAAAGATTTCTTTTTCAAGTCTCTCTTGCCGAAAATTTATACTTAAAAAAAAATAAATCTCAACCTGATTATTAGAACCTAGGTTAGGTTTGCAGGATTTGACAGTAAGATATTAACTGAACATATATGATGTTTAAATCAGTGAGGAACAGGGAACCTGTCAAACCAATAGAACTTTCCACAAAACAACCACAATTTAAAATGATCCTTTTCTGCATAGTTTTTAATTATTTGGAAAAAAATTATGAGTCACTGTAAGACGAACATGTAAAGGGAAGATACAACAGTGATTTTACCTACTGCTTTAGTATCTAGAACTCAGTTTTGCTTTCCCTCCATGAATGACATTGCTGTCATGTATTAATATTTGACATAAACATATAAATCCCCCTTCTTTATTATGTGATGAGTTTTGCTAAGCATGGGCCAAAATTTTCAAAATCTTGAAGCAAAACAGTAGCATTGCCCACAGATAAGTAGGTATACTGTACTACATCTGGGTCTTCATTTCAGGCCATTGAATATCTTCCTTCCTACCATAATTAATGTATATGTGCAGACAGAAATGTGTTTATTAATTTCTAGTGTGACTAAGGTAAGTTTAAAAATTCTAAATTAGTGTAAAAATAAACTTCAAATTAATTAAAAAAATAGAGGTAAATGTTAGAAATACCTTTGTGACAGGCAATTCCTTGGATTTAGACTCAAAGAGGTGCTCCAGTTTGGAAGTGTCCACCTTAATGGGTTCCAGTTTTGACCACAGGAATTCTCTGCAGTGCTTGTTGTTCTTACACTGCCACTCAAATGGCCGTACCTCGTTCCAAAACAAACGGATGGTTTTCTTCTTCTTTATGAAAGTTGGCTGACCCCTGGAGACCCGGGGTGACCCTAAACTCTGAGGAGTGCTGAAGAGTGGAGGAGGAGCCAATAAATTACCAGAGGGTGGAGGTGGAGGTGGACAGCCAAACAGGGGGGGAGGCGGTGGAGGAGGCAAACCCAAAAAGGCTGGTGGAGGAGGGGGAGGGGGAATTAGGGAGTCCCCAGGACCCATATCCATGTCCAACACATCTACATCATCCTCTTCCCCCAAGTCTGTAAAATCCATGTCTTTTATTTTTAGTTCTTTTGGATTAGCCATCAACTGATCCCAGATGTAGTCAGATTCCTTCTTTGGCTGTGCTGGTGTTTTATCTGAAACTTTTTCACTCAGCTCATCCTCAGGCAAGTCTGTCCCCTTGGCCAGCTCACCGTTGTTGAATTTTTCTGCAAAGGCTTTCACGCTGCCTTGGTTGTCCAGGCTTTCAATCTCCATCTTTTTAACACTTTCCTCTTTGGCCTGCTTGGTGGCCTGCAGGATTGAAATCCTACTGGCTAGGCTGGTGATTGACTCCTCGCTTTCCTCCGTCTCCGTCTCCGTCTTTTCCTCCTTCTCCTCCAGCTCTTTTTCCTCTGCATCTTTGGGTTTTTTATTATGGGCATACAACATGTCCAGCATAAACCGTTTGTTGTTGAGAATGTTGCTGCACTGCTCATTCACACCAGCATCTTGAATGGTCTGTGACCAGGGACCTGAAATCATACACGCACACACACAAAACCATTATGAACTGAACAATAAGAACATGTCAGGAATGCAAAAGATTATACTGGAAGCAATGTTGGTGATACATGCATAATTAGCATGAAGCTGGAAAAAGTTTTTATGGACAAATTTTTAAATAAGAAAGCCACAGATACATCCTGCTATTGGTGAGTACTTCTTTAACAATGGCTTAGTAGCCCATAAGATCAGCAGATGCTCAGTATGTCTCAGGAAAAGTTCAGTGAATGTCAGGAGCCAGACCAAAACATTTCTCTAAGGAAGTCTTCCGTTTTTATTAAAATAAAAAAGGGGGGTGGGGAAGGGGATGCATTCAGATAATGGTTGTCTTAGTCTACTCTCCCATGTTATTTTACAAGTTACTAAAATGGTCAGACCCTTGGACAGTCCAAAGTCCCCCAAAACCTATATGATTCTTGTCTTTTGCCCTTTTCCAGTGCCTCTGTGCTTTCTGTTTTGTGCTAGGACCAAAGGTAAAAGGATTAAAATAAATATTGTGGGCAGAGCTGCTCTTGTGGTATGCGTGACATCACTGGACACAGGAACTATTTTAGGAAAATTTGCATGAAAAAGACTTGTATTTCCAGCCTGACTTTCATCAATATGCTTCCATACTTCCCTCCATTTTCAGCACCTTTGGTTAAAGTAGGGCAGCTTTAATCTCTTAGCTCAGCTCCATGGTGTTTTGGCTATAATCACCGAGGCGGCCTTCTAGGTCACTGGGATCCTCATTTATGAACACAGGGCAAAATTTTCCAAAGCACTTAAGTGACCTAGAAGTCTAATTCCCATTTTCAAATATGATTTTGCTGCCTGCAAACCTCAGTCTGATTGAAAGTCACATAGGTGTTTCTGAACACATTACTCCCTAACTATAACTAGCATCCTGTAGGTAAGCTGCAATAGAACTAGAAAAATAGTGGTCTCTGCCCACTTTGCAGCATGCAGCAGTAATAATGCTTAGTTTATATAAACCCTGCTATCTTTACACTATGATGAAGTTAGACTATGATGGATTTACTAGTTTATACAATTTACTATTGAGTGCATCAGGCATGGACAGGCATCACATATCCATAGAAATGTAAAATTAAATGAGCAAAATAGATTTTAGGATGCAGTTTTCCTTATTTTAATATCATTTAATCAACTGACATTCAGTCTGGAAACATACTTTGGAAATGTATTTTCCAAAGGTTATCAACTGAGGTGATTAAAAAACAGACTAAGAAATAAGTCTACATGGTTCCCATGTCTTCTAGGTTTGATTCTTCCTTTATCTCCTTCTTTTGTTATTTATGCATTTTGTCAACATATTTTTTTTTCTAAACAAGCTTTTTAATTTATCATTATGATTTATTTTTGCCTTCCGGCTTGTCTCCACTAATCAGTGTGTGTGTACATGTGTATGTATATATATGCATTTATAAATGTACGTACACACGCACACATACACACACATATTAATCTTCTGGTTGCATTTTCTCTTGTAATGAGAATTTAATTTTTTTCTCCTTTTACCTGATGTTTCAGAATATTTAAGTTGACATATTAATTTTAATGTCTTTATCAGTTCACTTAGTTTTCTTTCCATAACTTTAAGTCCCCTTCCTTTACTTTGGTAATTTTCTTCCTAGATTAGACTGGTAGCTACACCCATAACATAGGCTAATCTCTCAAATTAAAATTAGATCATGCTGAACTGAGCTGTGTACACATGTTCAGATAATCTGGGAAAATTCTCCCAGGTTTGTTCTCCCAGTTGAAAATCTTACTCAGAGATGCCTGAACAGATATTTGAATGTTGAGCCCCTGAAGACAAGTGATCTTGCAGTACTGATGCTGCATAGCTGTGTGGGCCCTGGACACACATCTCAGTGTACTTGACAGGCTCCCCAGTCTGCCTGGAAGCAGTGCACAGAGTAGCCCTGATTGGCTGACCCAGATTGCTCCAAGTCAGCCTGTGTCTTCATGCAGCACAATGTGGGATTGCGAAGGGGGCATGTTCTGCTCCCTGCTCAGCTGGAACAGTAGAGTCCAGCAACTGGCACAGTGTTTTCCTGTGTGGGGAGGAGCAGGAAAGCAAAGCACTCAGGGATGCTGGAAGACTGTGCTGTGGCTTCTCTCAGACAAGAACATGTACAGAAATTTGCTCTCCCAGGACAAACTTTCCTGGGAGTGATTTAACCCTGGTTGTTCCTGGGTTATTTTGCTCTGGGAGAAAAATCCTGAACATCAGTACTTCAAGTCTCCAAAATAACACTTCACACTAACACATCACACTTCAAGACAATAATGCCAAGTCTTATCAGATTTGAAAAGTAACCATTTTATTAGGTTACATTATGATTCTGAAATATCAGTACAGGTATATGAGAGAGAGATTTGGTCTGAACAAGAAGTCCAGATTTATCAGGTTGGAAGCAGCCAGAACTAATAACTGATTCATGCTCTGTGGATGCATCTACATGTGCATCCCACTGCGAAGTTGGTACTGTGCAGTCATTTAGTACTTGCTAAAACTCTGTGTCCCTTGCTGGACTCTACTGCTCCATTTGAGCAGGGAGTTAATGCAAGTACTAAATGACTGCACAGTACCAGCACTACGCAGTTCCAGAGGTGCATGGGTCATTTCTGACCCTACTGTGCATTAGCAATGAGCTACTGTGCAGTAGCTTGTTTATACTGTGCAGTAGCGGGGGCATCACAATTAGTGCCCGCCGATGCAACATTGCCGTAACTAGTCGCTATGGTGATGCAGCATCTCATGTAGATGTGAATAAAACTATAATCCATTCTCTTTCCACTTGAACCTGGACTATGCCCCAGGAGGATGAGACCCACAGCCTGTTTCATAACCAGCATAATATTTGCTGAATGTTAACCTAGGAATCTGTAATATTGACAGCTACCCAAACTTTGTCTATATGAGATGCTGTGAGCAAAAGACAGCATACAGCCCTCCTGAAAGCTTTTCATCATCTGTTCTAAAATGAAGGTACTGACAGATTTAACTTATTAGAGAAAGAGAGTTTTTCCCATTTTTTCACTATGTTGTTCCCTCCACAGATCACCAAGTGATAGCACTGGAAGTATTAATAATGCTTTCATACCCAGAAGCCACTTTTCACCATGTCTCATATAACAAGTACTTCCACTGGTCTGAGGGCTAGGGAATAAATCCAATTAAATTCCCTTGCAAACATATTTACCAGTTTCAGCTGGAATTGCTGGAACTCTTGCTGTTTAGTTCATCATCTGGATTATTATTATTATTTACATACATGTGTATCTATCTACCTCCTTCACAAGTACAATGGTATTCAAGGGTTATGTTCTAGACTTCAGCAATGCTCCCACTGGCATAAAGCCAAGACTTCTGTGCTCTACAGAAGAACTGAAGATGGCCTTCAGCAGTAAAGCAGATTAACATGTTGTATTTAAGTAACATGTCTCCGGAAAAAAAATGGGGCTTAAAGATGAATTAACTGAAACTTGTCAATTTAACACCATGAGGTGATGCCTATGTTTTGAAACAATTCCTCTTGCATCGGGGAAGAGTGAAAATACAGATCCAAGTCTTGGGGTGCTTATTATCTAAAATGTTTCATTTAGACCAAGGCAGACAAAACGTGTGTGGTAGAGGTGATATCTTTTATTAGACCAACTAAATAGCAGCAGAAAAACCCACCTTTCTTTGCAAGTTTTCAGGCCCAAATTCCCGTCCTCAGGCAAAGGAGAATTCAAAGATTGTACAAGTTCTCCCAGGTAGAAATGAAACTTAATCTTGCACAAGGGAGTTAAAAGAAGGTAGGGTTCTCCTGGGTATAACAGTTCATTTTAAAAAGGTGGCTCTGTGAGTATGAAAAGGAGGCACAGACAATAGGCAGAAGCAGAACTAGATAGAAGCAAAATTCAACATCCTACCTGCAACTGGATACAATCAGATAACAAACCTGGCTTCTGCCTATTGTCTGTGCCTCTATATACTTGCAGAGCAACCTTTTTAAAGTGGACTGTTAGACCCAGGGGAACCCTACCATTTTTTACTCCCCTGTGCAAAATGAGGTTTCATTTCTACCTGGGAGAGGTTTTACAGTTTTGAATTCTCCTTTGCCTGGGGACGGGCATTTGGGCCTGAAAGCTTGCAAAGAAAGAATTATTTTTGCTGCTATTTAGCTGGCCTAATAAAAGATATCACCTCTACCACAAGAGTTTTGTTTGCCTATATTTTTAGACCAACATGGCTAAAACTAACATCCCTAAATCATTTAGAGCAATGCATTCCACTGCACTATGCCAATAAAGTTACAGCATCTATTTCACTTATGTTACAGATACTCATATAGGAGTAAACTGCTGTACTCAAACCAAATCTCTAAAGGGCTGAGACCTGCCATTTTGTTAAAGACTACAGGTGGATGGCCATGCGAGGTTACAGCTCCCAAAGGGAAGCTGCAAATGGCAGCATTATTGGTTAATAGGGAAATGTTCCTTTTGGAATGATGCATTTGTTCCTTATGCTTGTTACCTATGTCTGGGAACTTCACTATCTACCTCTACCTTCAGCAACTTTTGTAGTCTCTCTGCATTTCTGGTATTTGGCCAACACAGGGAAGATAAAAGAAAAGAAATAAATGCAGCACTCAATGAAGCACCTTTAGTTCTCACTCCCATACTAAGTATAGAGCTTTTTATCCTGTGGCAAATGATTTTGGGGCTTCCTCTATGATCGTTCACCACATGGAACAACTGAATTCAGTGCATCCCAAGCCCCCAGAGCGGTGGTTCTTTTGATCTCTAAATAACTAGTAAAGTAATTATGAAGGAAGATAATAGTCTTGATCAGGAGAATTCATTTTACCAAGGCTTGGCTACATTATTGCTCTGTACACCGAAGTCCCAACTGAAGTCAGCGATACTGCATACACAGAGCAGATAGGATTGGAGCCATGAAGGAGAGCAGGACAGGACTCAAAGGGATTGTCTGCTGATTAGCACTACACAAAGCTGCTGATACAACATTTTCTTTGTGGGAAAATCTCTGTTATTGAAAAAAGCTTCACTTTACCAGTTTCATTGTCACTGGTTAACTTGTCCTCTCTCTCCTCCCTCTCTAAAGTGCTGCTTGCTGAGGATATGCTGGATGCAGAGCAGTTGTCTTTTTCATTCACTTCCTCATTCTGCCTCTCTTTTTCACTGAGTATTGCACTTTCTTCTGGCTCTTTCTCTGGTCCTTGTTCCACCTCACTCTCTGGTCCCACTGCTGAAGCCTCTATTTCCTGTGATGTTTCCGCTCCCTGCTCGGCCTCTGCCTCAGCCTCCTGTTCTGGTTCTGGTTCTGTCTCTGGCTCAGGTTCTGGTTCAAGTTCACTGGCACTTGCTGGTAGAGAGAACAATGGAGAAAAAAGATTCACTTAACAACAGTTTCTCGCAGCTGTCAAGACTCACCCATCCAAACAAGTGAGATTTGAAAAACTTATGAAGCACTACTTTTTGGTTAATTGTCCATGGTGAGTCTAGTATTAAGAGCGAGAGACTGCTGAACACTGTGTGAAGAGGACACTAATCTCGAGTGTGACTCAGCAAGTCTTGCCTTGATTTATGTTTGCTTATCATCTGATGCTAATCCATTATTTTTACACAACATTTTTCAGCAGTTAGATTACTGCAGTCATAAAAAGAGTCAACTCATCAGAAAATGGTTCCCAGTCTAGGTTCAAAGAATGAAGGCTCAACACTGAGAACCACAAAGAAGGAACTTTTAAAAAATAGGTTGGAGCTTATGCCTCTTAGCTGAGTTCCCTTTTCTTTCTGGAGGAATTTTTTAGTGACTTCTTTTTCACCCGACGTGGAATGCTTCAACAAAAAGATACATTAGTATTATTAGCACGGTAAATGCCACAGTCTGGATGCGGCAGTCATACATATGGCTGACAGAAAGCATGTGTGTTTGCATGCATATTTACTTCAGAATAGCCACATCAAAACTGAACTGAGTTTCCAACTGCTTGGCATATGGCATAAATTTAGCTTCCAATTGGTTGGCATGTGTCATAAATTTAACTTTTAATTGGTTGGCAGAAGGCATACATTGTTGATGGTGTGCTTGGTTTCCTCCTCTTTGCTTTATCACTGACACAGTGAAATTCAGTCATTTACCTTTATAGTTTTCAGCTAAAGCAGCAGATTTTTACATGCAAGAATTTTCTGTGTGCTGTGAAGAAAGTGGAAAGCATCCATATATACTCACATCAAGCAGCCCATAACCCTCCAAATATTGAAAAGGTCATGCAAAAGTGATGAAAATGTGCATGCATATTAGTTCTGCATATTCCTCACATCATCCCTAGATTAAAACTTCTACAAGATGGCTGAATTACAATAACCCTAGTACTATTAGATTTGTTCTCCTCCTATTTTTGCCTACCTTTCATTGCAATATTGTATTATACACTTTAGGGCCCGAAGTGGTCTCTGGATACTATTGCATATGATAGTTTGTTTGCTTTTTTGAGAATTAAATGAAAAGAATTGAGCTGTATCTTTGTGAAAAAAGAGTGTTCCATAGGAGCACATCCTGAAAATATAAGAGTACATAAATAGATGCAGCCTAAGAAAGTGGAAGCTCAGAAGGGCCAGGGGCAAGATATTCATCTAAGAAACTCTCACAGGTATATGGATATTTCATCTCCCAAGACAAAAATCAGGTTACCATTTCTAAGACTGAACACTTGCACACTTAATTCAGCCTATTTTTAACTTTCTACATAACAAGGGTTATCCAAATGTGTAATTAAATATCCTTTCAGCATATTTTAGTATTGTAAAATCCCTTCTTATTTCACACTATTCTGTAAGAACTTTGGACTTGTAAAGAATGTTTATTGCTACTTACTTCACTAGGGCCAAAACTTCACCTAGTTACTGGACTACCCAAGGAAGGATCAGCATCATATATTAGACAGAGATGACCTAGCCTCATTAATTGGGCAGACAATTTGAGCCATAGTTCATCTTTGAACCATGCTATTATTGTATACCATGACAAGCGCAGAGTTTAGCACTACATGAATGCAATATGGTGTGTGCTTTAGAAAGTAAGCCATGTCAGATGGCTGAGCACTGATCAATCATCATCATTATTATATTATTTGGATTTATAATCCACCCCACCCCATCAGGACAGTTTATAATAAAAGACAGACAAACTACAATATGAGATGCAACAATACCCCAAAACAACACCCCAAAACTTTAACACTGCCCCAGGCCTCCCACTCCTGCCTCCCTTTAGTCCTCTATCCCATCCCAACTGTGCTTCTCAACTTTTCCAATGCCCATTCACATCTAGACTTGAAATATTTTTCCACTCCCATGCCCATCGATTCCCAGTCCCTTGTTTCATACCACAGAGAGATCACTCTCCCTATCCCAAACTTCCCACTAAGCTTACAGAGGGTCTGTGGCTGTTCCTCAAAACACATAAATCCACCCCCTCCCCAACCAACACAACATTAATTTAAAAAAAGCTTGTTCTAGGAAGAGGGGATTAGAGATCGGAAACCGTATAGCTACATTACTACTAGTTTAGATACGCTGAATAAGAAAGATTGGAAAGTGCCTCCAGTACAAGTTAGGTACCTTCTGCTGACATGTGGTATTCCTGTAAAAATAACTGAGTTTGCATCTTTAGATACTCAGGCATTTGAGAAAGTGTTATGGGTCTCCAGCTGGAATGGTCCAAAACCCATTTATAAAATCTGTTCAGCTAATGAAACGTATATTAAATGAACATGTTTATACATAATATATACAACATACAGACACACTTTATTCAGTTTATTTAATTTTTTTCTCAATCATTAGAACAGTTTTTTTCTTTTACTTTCACACACACCACACACCATGTAGGGGTTGGCAGCCTAACTGAATGATTTGGATAACTGGGGTTTGGGACAATTAACGTTACTGTAATGTCAAATGAGCAAAGCTACAAAACAATTTAAACACTGCACTAAACTCATCAGATTAATAAAACTCAGGTAACTCATATTAATAACACCCATGCAACTCATAATATTAAATATGTCAACACATACTATAGGTAAAAACAAAACACTGAGCTCACTCTACGTTAATCACTTGAAGTTGCAAAACATGATAAATGCAACAGCCATGTTGATATTAGAAAGAACATCTGCTGATGTGGAAAAAAACTCATTCCTAATGGGTGACTATTTAGTGGCCTATATGAAGTGAATTGCTGATTTCAGTCTGGCATCTACTTGACCAATTTTTATGGTAGAAAAACTAGCATCACAATCTTGCTGGCAGACATCATAGAGAGGTCAAAGACTAAAAGAGGACAGAGACGAATTCCCACTCTGATTCTTTTTAGGGAGAAACTTCAGATAGGAGTTGAGGCATATCCATTAGTTACCCCAGTTAAAACTATATAGCAGCTAAGCACTGGAAAGGCAACATCATTGTAAGTGAAAGGCATCAGGAAGACATATAAGTGATCAAATGGTTTCACATGAGCCATTTCATGCCCTTAAATAACATGGTGATACAAAGAATTCAATAAGCTCTAGCTTAAGTCAAAGTTTGGCTTCCCATAGGATTCCATGCTCAGGAGAGCTGAGTCCCAAACCCAATGAACTTCTCATCAGATGTGTTATTTTTCAATTAGGCCCTATCCCTGCTATATTTTTGCATGACTCTAGTCCATTCATAAAGGGAAGTTTGCATGGAAGAAGCTGCTGCAGCTACCTACTGACTGATTTGGCCCCCAGATGGTTCCATTGTGGCAAAGAGCATGGGTACAGTCACCTGCAGGAATCCCTCTCTACCCATCCTTTTGAGATCCAGTCCTCCTCACGGTACCCTGAGGCTTCCAGAGGGCATGACATTTCACCACTCCCATCATTATCTATAGCTGTAAGCCAGTCCTGTAGCTCAAAAGAGAACAGAAGTATTGGTTGCTAATCCCTAGGCAAAGCAACAAGCTCAATAAGCTCGCCTAGATGCAGCCTTTCCCTCCTGTTTTCTGGGAGACTGTGGCTGAGGAATCATGGCCGTGTGTCTCTGTGGATATGGATGATCTGTCTGCAGAAGCTCGCTCCTACTCAGGCTCCAATGTTTGGGCAGACCCTAAGTCTCTGCTTAAAACATTTCCCCTCTTAGTTGTGGGAGCCTGGAAAGGTTTCCCTTAAAGAGCCCTGATTTTTGCAAGGTCAGCAAGATTCCAAATCTCCCTGAGTTCTGATCCAAATAAAGAAGAATATTTTTCTTATGATGAACACTGTTTACATAAAGCAGATCGCCCTAGAGGCCAGCTGCTCTCACCTCTGCCCTAACTCATCTTCTCTTGTTTATTTTTTTAAGTTCCTCCTTTGTCTTCTGACACAAAATTTCCTTTAACCCAGGGGTGGACAAAATGGTGGATCCAGCCAGTGGCTGGACTCCATTTCCCAGCAGTCCCTGCTTAGATCACTGTAGCTGGTTTCCATGGAGATCCCAGCAGCTGCCGCGCTGTGACAGCGCAGGGCCAGGGTTTCCATAGAGACCAGCCCCAGCAGCGCTGGCAGGGCACGTGGCTAGGTGGGGAGCTGCTCTGGGGCTGGGGCCAGGGCCAGGATCTTGTGGCAGTGAGAGTGGTCTGGAGGCAGGGCAGAGCTGTGATCCACTGCCTGCAAACCCCTGCTGAGGGCATGCGGGCAGTGGATCACAGCTCTGTCCCAGCTCCAGATCATGCTATCACCACTGCAAAATCCTGGCCCTGGAGCAACTCCATGCCCAGGCGCACACCCTGCCAGTGCTGCTGGGGCCAGCACTGTCACAGCCCTGTTGCTGCTTTGGAGTCTATGGAGACTGGCTTCAGTGATGCAGGCAGGGGCTCCTTGGAAATGGAGTCCGTCATGGGCCTGATTCGGCCTGCAGGCTGGACTTTGCCTGTCCCTGCTTTAATCCAAGGCAGGGGCCAGGATTTTCTCACCAATACCTTCTTGTCTGGGAGCTTCTCCATATGTGAATTTACTTCTGCTAGTGTGGATATTTAGACAGTGTTGGTGCATCTAGGACATCCATCCCTGCCCAGTTTTGAGTCTCACTTGTGTGCTAATTAGCCTAGAAGTTGCCCCACTGCCCATAACTCACATGTTGCTCAGTGTATGAAACACCAGAGATGCATGTTTGTACTCCCAAAGGGAAGGGCATACTTCTGAATTGCTTTTGGTCTGATATTAGGAAAGAGCAGTCTGAGATACTGATAGAAAATATTTTATCCTGAGCTAACAAAACTGAAAACAGTAGCTCTGAAAAATAATTGAATCCCGTGGTCTTGATTATGGGTTCAACTAGTAAGTCAAGAGTAAAACTAACTGGAGCCAATTACTTCAGTGGGAGCAACTTACATATTAGAAAAGAACTCAGTGCAGCGTTTCAAGATTTTTTTGTTGGGTTAAGCTACCAAAAAAAGCTTCCCAGGCCCAGAACCGGTATTGTAGGTGTATAGGATATTTCAACAGAAGTGTTGGAAAAGAAATCTAGAGCCAGCTATTATTTTATTACTGATGGGAGGTATTTCCCTTGAGAATTCAGGTTCAGAATTTTGCAAGACAACATTACACATAAATGAATAACTCTGAAGCTCTGAAGAACTGTGTGCTAAAGGCCGCAGAATTAAAAAGTATTCCTTCTTGTGTATCCCTGCTTGGGAAAGAAGGGAATCCCATGTTCAAAGCAACAGGTTAGGACTGGATGTTGCTTCTGGCTCAGTCTGAGCTTTCTTATGCGTTTGTACTTTAAGCAAATCAGTGTCTCATTTTCCTGATCTATAACATGGTGCTAATATTTCCTTACTGTGCAAGGATGGTGAAGCACCCAATCCAATAACCCAATGACATCATGCTAGAGAACGTGACCAAAAAGCCATTGAAAATGTACTGCCCATTTGGAGCTGCCCAACACAGCTGCTCCCTGCCTGATTACTTTCCCCGTCATCAGAAAATGGTCAGGTATTTGTTGTCTTGCCCCACTTACTGAATCCTTGATAACTTTCTGCTGCTCTGAATACTAGGTATCTCTAAACCTTGCACTGCAGTCCTTATTCAGGTAAAAATTCCCACTGAACCAAACGTATTTCAGGGCCCATAGTCTGACACTGTCTTAGATTTCTGAGGACAGCCCTCTGCTGGATTTTGTCTGGTATTGCCTTGTCCACCTGCTCTGAGACCATCACTACTAGCCTGCCTGCTGGCCAGGAGCCCAGATGACGCCCTTGTAAACCTCCTGATTTTGTTGGGTATTTTGCTTGATATGCCCCATCCACCTGTTTGCTGTCTATGGGCAGCCTTTTCATATCCACAGAGCACCTCCATGCACCTGTTCTAAATTTAGTCTCTGCACGTATCGTGCTGTTCCATCTTAGGCTGCAGTTTTTCAGAACGCTTCCAGGTGAAATATGTTAAAACAATTAACTTAAAAAAGATACTTGTTCCCTACTCAATCCTGAAATCCTGACAGTGGAAAAATCTAGCTTATTACTGCAAAACTTATGCTGGGTTTCAAAGATTGAGATCCCTGCAGTTTTGAGAGAAATGTTAAAGGGAAATAGTCCTGTTTTCTGAGCTAAAATGATTCTACTGAGATGTGCAGAGGATCACAGATCCAAATACATTGGAAATGTAATTAAATAGGTATGTAAACACAAATAATGTTGACTTAAGTATTTAGCACTATGAGAGAAAATACTCCCAAAGTCAGCCTTTATATAACATTTTCCTTAGTTGCATTACTTGCAGCATGCTTCAAGCTGCTTCAACCAATAAAACCAATTAGCACAAGTTATAGAAGCATTAATCACCAATAGCCTGGAAGCAGGAAATCAAATCAGTGTAAATGATGGTGATAAATCCTCAACATGCACTGAGGCTCCCACCATTAATGCAACATCACATAGAAAGAAGATAAATTGCCACAGGTTTGGTTTTTCAGAGGGCTGGAGGAGGGGTACATGTTGAAAATGATAGACCAATGTGCACCCACATCAAATATTGCTCTGTACATCACTAAATTACATGACAGCAAATCACTCAGACAGGCACGGGTTGTATTTTCCTTTTTACTAATTGCCTGTGATCTCTGAAGTCTGCTAGTAGTTTTGCTACAATTCAAATCCTTTTTTTTTTTGGGTCACTGTTAAAAATAATCAGCACAGCATCCTTCTCTTAAATTCAGTAACTTTTTGGTTTGTCCCAGACAGCCTGTGCTGTGCTGGAAGGTTGTTATAATCCTGGCATTCATCTGTAGTATTTCTTTCAGAGAATCCACATAAGCAAAATATGCTGGCAGGAGTAATATTGTTTTAGTATTCAGTAACTACTGATATACAAGGAACATGATTCTAAAATAAGATTCTCTGTATGTAGCATTTTCTAGTTATTTCATTGCAGTTAAAGCAGGCAAGATTAATACGAACAATGGTGATAACTAATAACCACATATTCCTAGCACAAACAGCTCAGAGATACTTGGAGGTATTTGAGAAAGAAAGGAGAAATGCAGACAGATGACAAAGAGAAATCTGTCAAGTAAGGACCTGGATATGAGTCGTGGAACTCTAAAGGGTTCAGTCCTGTATGCATGCATAAAAAGCTCCAGCTGAAGAAAGACACTTTGGTAAATTAGCTCCTTTCCATCCATCCTCCTTTGCACTCACCTTCAGAGGGCTGAGGTGTCCCGCGGGGCGTAGAAGGGGTGTTCAGCTCCTCTTGGGACTCTAGAGATGCTGGGCTGGTGCACTTGGGAATGGGAGAGGATGGGGCTGAGGGAGAGCCCAGGTTCAGGGACAGCTCACTTCTGCCTCGGTTTATACTCCGGCTTTTCAGCTCCTTCTCATACTCCTCGGCTGCCAACTTCTCCAAGTATTTGTATCTGAAAGTTAAATTCCAAAGGGTTTCCGTAAAGAAAGAGAAGCCTGTGGTTGATGCTTGTTTATGGATGAAACACCTGCAGAGAATGAGCTGACTTCCTGACACAAGGGGTTCTGCACTAAACAGACTGTAGGGTCAGCCTGCCAAAGAACTGTGCACCAAGGCAAAGAATATGGACCAAAAAAAATGTTAAATCTGCCATGACAGAACAAAACCCCAAAATGGTATCATTAAACAGTCCTTGGCTACTGTATCCTGTCTGCAGAGTCCTGCTTTCCTCCCATTGGAAGCATTCGTCTGCCCTTCTCTTCACACCCCTCTGGTCTTCCAAAATATTACAAAAAACAAACCCAAAACCAAAATTCAGCCCCCAGTACTGATGCAAATAGTTAAGTCCGAGACTTGCTTTAGAAAGAGGAAAATGATTCAAGTGCAGCAGACAAAAACAGATCTCCCTGAAAATAAAACCAATAATAAAGGTTTGGACTGAAGACTATCTAAGTCTCTGAACCTGCTTCCCTTTGCTCTAGGAGCAATGCACTGGAATTCACTTTGTTCTCTCCAGAGTCTACAATGGAAACTTTCTTTTTTTTTTATTCTAAAAAATTTTTCTGCCGGACTCAGACATCCAATAGCTTGGACCTGACGTCACATATAGTTTATTCATCAAAGTCAGTTTAAAAGAACAAAGATACATCTGTTTTGCATTTTAGGCAGGCAGAACTCACTAACTGTTTATTAAGACCAGCTACCAATCATATTCTTCATACTGTGCTTTATACATTGGGACCAAAATAAGTTTGAAATATGTGCCTCTTCCAGATGTCTGCTAATTTTATCCACCATTATTTGCTAAGGAATAAATTCATGAGTACAGCTGTAACAGGCTTTTGACTCTGTTTGTCTTACCCACAAGTGAACTGTTAAACAGGTTAATCAAGACTACTGCTTATGTCCCTGAAAGACTATGCGGTCATTCTCCAGTAACCCGCTGTTGTAAACACTTCATAACAAGGAGCATGCCTCCTCCCCCCATCCAGTCTCACTGACAGGCTGAATTAGTGTAGAAGTGTATATTAAATTCAGTAAGGATAAAGAAGTCAGCCATATGTGGCAAGAGACATGCTCCGTACATACAGTAACCCCATACACACACACATGCGCATTCACAAAAGACAAATATGTGGCATGCAAAGGTATCATAAAAGAGCACTCGTGTTTTGTTATGCAATTTTTATTATTATAAACAGCAGTAATGAAGAACAAACTCGCTTTCTTTTATTCCTCCAGAGGTATGAGTAGGCTTTGAACTGAGATTCTGCAGAAAAAGAACCCCTACAGACTTTGGATGAAAATATAACAAGCTACATACTTGTATGGTTATAAAATAGGAACTGTTTACAGTTCTTGCATGAAGCCAATTCTAAAGGATGATTTTTTTTCACTAGGGGGAAAACCCTTTGCAGGCGTTATCATGGTCTTTCATTACATGGTTAACAACACCAGCCCTTCTAACTGCAGTCAGTTAGGGACCATGGCTTCCCTCCTACCCCCCTCACAAATTGAGCAGATGGAACTTAGGACTCATAAAGAGACATTCAATTGATTGCTTAGCTAAACCAGGTACAGCACAGCTGGCTGCACTGGAGTTTTCTGCAATTTGCCAGCATGCTATAGCAGAGATCCAGACTGATCCCTTTATAACATGGGGAGTTCCAATTTTTTATTGTCCTCAGCTCTTTTGCAGCTGCTTTAACTTTTTAGCTTCTGTAGCTTTGTGCTGTACAATTAAATTCACCAGGAAAACAGCAGACTGTCAAAATATGTGTTCTCAAAATTTATCTTTTGCCATAACATATTGCATAAAAAGTACTGATAAACCTAGAACAGCAGATCTCCTGGCATCTTACAAATTTGGTATAGTGTCAAATGATATACAGTACACTAAGACTATTCAGATTTAGGGCTCACATGGATACTGGAGAACTTGGAGCCCTATTAGGACCTAGATGAAGCTTTTTACCAATACCAAACAGGTACGACTAAAACTGAAGTTTTGAATATTTTACATTTATCAAGTGAATTGTATTAAGCAAATTGGTGGCTTTAGTTCAATTTCTAGGGTGCAGGTAACGCCAGCACTAAAACATTAGTGGTTCTATTAGCAGTCTGATAAAGACCCAGGCTTAAATAAGGATAATGAATGAATTTGACTTTCTTCTTATATATATAGTACCTTCTGTGCCTGGGTGACCATACATTCTGAATCTCAAAACGGGACACTCCGCTCTCCCACCTCTCCCATCTGCCCCCAGCTCAGGTCTCTCCAAGATCTAGTCTCAGCTGAATGCACTGGAGAATGGGACACGAGGGTGTCATGGGATGCCAGAGGACCAGAAACCCCTATCAAATTCCTGGCTGCTGAGTGCCACTAGCTTACTGCCCAATGGGATGTGGCACAGATATTCAAAAAGCACTCTAACCTAAAGCACTTTAGTCAACTTAGGACAAAAGTATTCATTTGACCAAACCAATGGGTCACCTAGGATAGGTGTTTAAAATGGGACTGTCACAGAAAAACAGGGTGTATGGTCACCCCACGTAGTGCCAGTTCGCTGCATGCCCGCTGTCCATGGTGCCCTGTTCCTCTAGGCCAAGCATCCCATACCAGACGTCTTTTCAGGAGAAAGGCCAGCAGATGTTGGGCTGTCAGTTTGGTACCTTTTGTGAGCAGTAAATCCCACACAGGGTACATTTACACTGTACAGCACATAATAAGAGGCAGGACTGATTAGCCTACATGGAACTCCAGCCTACCAGATGAGACTGCTTTTAATAACAGAGGCCAGGTCCAGACGTTACACGTATTGTGCTATATGCACACAGGAAGTGGTCTACAGCCGTAACAGAAGAGACATTCACAGTTCATAGAGCGCTTTAAAAAGGGCAGATCGTGCTTTAACTTAACCCTCGATCGATGTGCTATCAGACTAAAGTGCTTTACGTTAGATCACTTTTTTGCATATCTGTGCCACATCCCATCAGGTATTAAGCTACATTGCATTTGCCAGCATCCCAGGCACCCACTGAAAGGCAGTGTGTCCGCCTTAGGCAAAGTTTGTCCTCTCTGCCTGAGCACCGGGCTGGCTCCACTACCTCAGCTGTCACTAAAAGCCCCCCTGGAAGGTGCCTCCCACCCTCAGTTTCCCAGATTGGGTCTTGGTGGGGGCCAGACCAGGTACCCCCTGCAGCACGTTGGCTCCTTTTCCACCCCTGACCCCATCCCGCCAGAGTTCCTGGTGCAGCAAGAACCAGTATGGCCCTGTCTGATGCTCCAGCAGGATCGCTGTGGGGAGAGGGGCTTAGGTGTACACGTAATGTCTGAGTGTGTGTGTGTGTGGATCTCCAGCCTGGCCCTGAAAGGGGCCATGGCACAATGGGGCAGGAAGTGGAGCTGCTGCCACTGACATTTGGTGGGGCGTGTGTGTGTGTGTACATTGGTCTCTAGCCTGGCCCAAGTGGGGCCACAGAGTGCCAGGGCAGGGTGCAGGGCTTGGGGGATGTTTTTGTGTGTGTCTGTCCACATCTGTGTCCGTGTCCTACCTCACTCTGAGCAATCCTGCCTTATATCCCTCTCTTTCCCCCCCCGATCTGTGGCAGATCCAGTGTGGACAGGCAACCCCAGCCCTCATCATGGTTCCAGGGGGATGCCAGTGTCCAGCCTACCCCCGTCAATGCTTGTCAGATGGGCTCCCCCATCTGGATCCTGCTCCCCGGGTATCCCTGGCCCAGCCTGGAGGTTTCTTTCAGCCTGCTTTGTTGTGATTCTCTGGTTCCTGTCACTGAGAAAACAGCAGGTAGGGGCACTATTCCCTGTAGTTCATTAGCTGCATTCATGAATCTCTGGCAGCCTGGAGAGTCTGTGGGACATGCTGCAAAGCATGCAAGAGCTCCCTCTATCTGCTAGCCTCAAGCAGTGCTAGCCTTCCAACAAATCATGAGTGTCTGTTTGGTTTAAACATGTGTTAAGGTAAAGCACTTTAAGTAAAGCATGATAGGGCGCTTTTGTCATTGGCTTTTTGAATATGTGTACATAGCTAGAGATACCTCATTGCATAGTTTAGACATAATATTATACTCTTCAAAAAGATGAAAACAGAATTCCAAGTACCCTAGTTTTAGGATCACTAACCTGAGAACTGTATATAATCTCTTTGATATCAGACACATCAACAGCTGTAACTCAGAATGAAATCAGGAATATTCCCATTTGCATGGAAACATCATGAAAAAGATTTCAGTGGATTTCTTTGCAGGAACATTTTTAAATGGCCATTGCAAACTAAATGCCCACAAGTAGAACCCCAGCAAACACAAAATGTGTATGGACATTGTTTTTTTTTAAATAATTGATGCTTTCAAAGCCAAAGAAATACAGAATAAACCAGTTACCTTCCTTAATTAGAGCTTGATCCAAAAGCCCACCAAAATCAATGGGGAACTTCCATGGGCTCTGGTCCATGCCCTAAATTATCCTAAAGTATATATTGGATCTCATGCAGTATGGGAAATTAATAGATTGCTCCAAGAGATTTGAAAAAATGTAGACATAATGGGCATTTTAATAGAGGTGCTTCTATATAATTAGTTTTAATGAGAGGTTTTCTCTCTGATTGCTTTTTTCTAATCACTATGACTGTTAGAAAAACGTCTAAACTTTGTAAAGATAACGTCTCATACTTCTTATTTTTTCAGAATTTATATCCAGATTATATTTTGACAGTGGAGTTTAACACATTGGCCACACGCAACTTTCTTTTGCTGTAGACATTGTCTTGAAATAATAGCTGACGTTAACTTGCAAAAAAGCACATAAAAGTCTACTTTCAGATACTGCCTGATGGAAAAGTCTATATGAAGAGAATGAAAAGGCCAGTGTAGTGGACAGCTATTGTTTGGTTTTAGCTGTAGATGTTTTCTCTGACATTTACATACTGTCAAGAAGGGATGTTTCTTTTCTCTTTATGAGAAGAAACTTAGAATGTAGCTCTTTATTTCAAAACAGGCCTGGACATAAAGACTCATTACTAATGACCAGTAAAATTGGCTCAGATTGCAATAGCAATGATGTCCTGCTGGTGAACATTTCCAAAATAATACTCAGGCTCACTTTAGTATGTTCCATTACAACTTGAAAGTGCTGGAGCATTCACTTCTAATTTGTTTCAAATCCAGCTGCTCAGTGGGATTGCTGCAAAACGTTTTACTCAGCTAAGATGAGTGCTTGGTGTTTATGTGGTCAGATATGTTTCATTTCACAAGATGCTTTAAACTGGCTGTAATCTTTTGGCTGTAAAACCAGAGGAAAGAACATCAACACCCATTTAAATTTAGAACTGTCAAAATCATTTTAATATCAGCCACTTCAGCCACAATAAAATTGCTGGTAGGTCCAACTCATAAGGTAGAAGGGAAAAAACATCTACCAAGTGATTGTATCCAGAGAAGAATTTGCCAGTTGAAGGGTATGTGGAAGGGTCACTTTTCACATTTTTATTATGAAATTTTAGTTTTTAGAAGACACTGTGGGTGATTTGTCTAACAGTCTGTAACAGCATATGATGTACACAGAAGAACTAGCTTCTGGGATTTTTTGGCTGCTGTTTGATTAGTTACTTGCATATTTTGCATGTAAAAACAAATATTGAAAATGGAGGTGAACAACTGAAAGGTGAAGTTTGTTGTTTGAGTTCTTGGAATGGTTTCACAGGCATGGGATCCTACTGGCTGGATACAATGTTTTCTAAGTAAAGTAAAAAAGATTCATAACATCCCTTACACTATGTGGTAATAAATATTAAAAAAAACATGTAAGGGTGATCACTATGCTCAGTTTCCATAATTTATTTGTGTGCGCTTCCAGAGATTGACAGAAACTAGTCAACTCTAATGTGTTGGCAGTAGGTTGGCAAGATTTTCAGTGTTCTAGACTGTATCAAAATGTTCAGCATCTCACAACCAACCTCACAATCCTCTTCTTTTTAGACCCTGCAAGTAAATTGCAACCTACTGGTTGAGAAATAATGGCTTAACAGAATTGTGGCCATACTCAATTTGGACAAATTTCTCAGGTAGACATAATACTTGGTCTTATTTCTCACTCAAATAAATCAAAGAGGGGTCGGTATTATGCCTGCTTGTATTGCTTCTGCACAATTTATTCCTAGATCCATGGCGGGGCTTGGTTTTCCTTTTCATAGATTTCTTTTAATAAAATTGCTTCTGGCATGCCTGGTTAAAAGTGTACTGAAATAGCCAACAGCCACACAGTCAAAGACACAGTACTAGGTGGAAAGCAACTGAAAGCAGGAAGCAACAGGTACAAACCTCTCTTCTCTTGCTTGTCTTAGCTCTTCTCTTTTGTCTAAATAATCTCGGCTAGAAACAAAATTTCAGTAAGTGGCAGAAGTAATCAAAACAATACAGATGACACCAAAACTAAATACATAGTAGGAGAAAGAGAAATCTCTCTAAATAGGCACATTAAAGATACTGAAGGATTACGCTTCAGTGAAGACATTTGCCTCTGCTTTCTAAATAAGTGTTGAACAGCAGGTCTGGATATGCGCAAAATATGCTAAATTGTATAATACATCATACCAAATATGTAAGGTGCAACGAATCAAAGAAATAAAACTGGCAATTTTTTAATTTCAGGTTAAAAGCCCAAAATAGGCAAATTTTAGAATTATATGCCGGGAATACTATTATTTTTCCTGTCCCTGAGTTCTGGATACAAGTTCTCAAATACCTTGACTACTGCTATTCTTTCCCTCCAGTTTGTTTTCCTCTCTCTCAGCTCTCCATATAACTTTTTGTTTTTAGTTTTGTCAGATCAACTTTCCTTGATGCTTGGATCATGTAATCCCTGGGTGTGATATCATACCCACAAATTTTAGCACCGGTGAAATATTCTTTATATTGTTTGCAGCAAGACTAATTCACAGAGTTGAACAGAATGCTAGAGGTTGGAGGTTGTATTAGAACATCCTGTCTACCTCCTTGCCAAGGCAAACCGATTCCTGCAGAACACTATTTAATGTTTGGTCAAGTCCAGTGGACAAAAGCAAAGGCACTTTCACTACTTCTTCTAGTCTATTCCACCACCAGAATAGTCAATGCCAGAAATTTTCCATTTACAGATCCCATTTCTTTACTTTTTTTATTTCTCTGCATAGCAGATGAAATAATTCCTCACCAACATTGACATTTAAAATAACATCATTGGGATCTGAGGATAAGGAAAAATGCACCTTTTAATTACTTCAAAAGTGGGAAAAGAACTGCCCAGGGCATCATCTGTTCCAAAGTAACAGTTATATTTGTGTGCTTCAACTGTGATACAAGTTAGCTAAATCACTGGAACTTTAACCCTGAGATTATGACCAATGTGTAGATAAAGGTACGATGGAATCCACCCCATCACACTTCCTGCCATGCCACACATGCATGGCATAAGGTGTGTTTGTGGGATTAACCACCAGATCCCAGCACACCTTATTGCTGGAGCACGTAGAGTCCAGGGTCATGATCCCAGGCTCCCCCTACACTGGCAAGTAGCAAGCTTCCGTGGCTGGGAGCCCTGTCAGCTGATCCAGGCTCTCAGCCATGGGGCATAATTGGCCACGCTTTCAATTAATGGCATGATTGGAACCAGCCACAAAGTTATTACATATTTTTGTGGAGTAACTTTGAGACTTATTCCTTGTTTTATGACAACATGCATTGTTTTAAAGTGTGGCTAGGTTACAACTTCAGACATGATTAACTAGTTAATCATGTCTTAAGTATACTGTGTGGCAGAGGTTGAAGGTAAAAGTTGCAGTGCTACACTGGTATCACTACAGAAACATATAGATGTCAGTTGCATCATAAACAGCTTATATGAGTATCTTTTGAAAATGATGAACTTATAAGTGTCCATACCTTGCGATAGTACCCAGGGAAGCAACGCATGCTTAATAAATTTGTTTCTAACTCTCTGAAAACTCAAGCTGCTATCACTTCACTGGTCACACTTAAGTCACATTTTCAGCTATGACACTAGGTCAATAAAAAAGCTAAGAATTCTGGATTAATATGACTCATATGAGAAACCTGTTCATTCCTCCTAGCTAATCCTTTGTTCCACACCTATGTCCATGGGGTTTGCCTTCTACTGCTTACATAATATAGAAAATAACCCCTGTATTGCACATACTGAAAAAAATCTTATTTAGTTAACTAAGATATTACCTTAGCTGCAGCCTCTGCTCCCCACTCCCCCCCATTTGTAGTAAAATCCAAGAGGAGGGGCTTTTTTACCATATTGATTGGGGGAGGGGGGGCGGAACTCATCTTGCTGTCAAGTAAATATGGTATGATTACAAGGACACTCATGGAACTGTCCCTTGGTCATTTGGGGTGGCTTTGTTTCCAAACAGTTCAGTGACACATAGTTGCTGCCTATTCAGTCTATAACTTTGGGGATCCCTTATTTAAATATGCCCTACAAAGCTTAGGGAAGAGGGGAGGTGGGCATCCCAGCTCTGCAAGACAGAATTGTTATACAACGGGAATGGAAGCATTCAGCAGCTTCTCGTAAAATTGTGTTCTTAATGGACCAGTGGCATGTGTCACATTATAACGGGACAGATTCTTTTTATCCAATTTCTCATTTTTCTGACCTTAACAATGGTTCCCTGGGACAGAACTACCACTACACATTTCTGATATGATGTGGCAGATCTCTCACTCAAGCAGGTAAAGCTGTCAAGTACTTTGTGGTGACTTTTTTGGGTCTGGGAATTTCCTTTCTGGAAGTGGATATTGGCAGACTTGTGATAGCCGCCCGTATCCCCTCCCTCCTCCACTGAAGCAATATGATACCAGCTGGAACAAGGGATTTTGGAAGTAGATTGAGACTGGAACTTGACTGTTTCTGTTTCAGGACAACTAGGGCAGCTTTTGGCCACCAAGGATTCTATTCTGGTATTCTACTCCTACTCCCTTCTTGTCCCTCATTTTCTTCTAAATTTATCTTCTCATTCTAACCACTTAGAATTTGCCTTCTTTTCCAGTTTCACTGTGGATAGTTATGAAAATGATGACAATATGCACAGTTCTGCATCTCAAAACAAATCTAGTATATTCTAGGAATTTAAAAAAATGGTGACAGAACAATTCTTTTTACTCTTTAGTCTGAAAACCTATCTTCTGGAAAAAATCTTTTCCTCTTACTGTTGATTATGAATGTGAATGTGAAATTATTTCTCAGAGCCTGAAAATACAGCATTTCCAGAGACAGGGAAGAAATTCTGTTGTGACTAAATCAGCCACAGAACTATGAAAACTAACATGCACAATTTTTAAATCTCCTCCCCACCCCCAAATATTTAACCTTTTTATAACTTCTGAAAACCCCCTATTAACTACATTGAATTTCAGATTTGGATGTGTTATTTACTTGAGAAATGGTCTGATCCCTCTCACGAGAGATCTATATACATTTTAACTTATGCATCTGATCCACAGCCTACTAGAATCAATGGTAGCATTTCCCTCGATTTCAATGGGACCTGGATCAGACTTCATATTTTGTTTGTACGGTATTTTTGATGTACCTGTTTCATGCAAATCTGAATACTCTAGGGCTGGAGGTAAACTATTTCAGACAGTACCATATGCTCACACAAGGTGAATTATTTTACTTTTCAAAAAATTAAAACACAGAGATATCTCCCTCCTCACACCCTAAACTTTACAGATATTAGGGTTTCAGAGAGAATGGACTGACTAGCTAATCCTGGCCTGTGCAGCTATCCAGTCAGTGTAACTGGCTGGAAATACAAATAGCTAGCAATTCCAGTAGCTTATTAGCCAAGAAATACTTTGCTTAATAAATTAATTTTTAAACACATTTACATTAACACATAAGTCTAAGGGGTAAAATATATATGCATAAAATATTCTGTAATTTAATTTCTCAGTTGATTGAAATGTGTTACATTAAGGCAACAAATAAATAGCAAGTATTATGGTCTCCTACTTGAATTTGTTTCTCTCTTCACGCTCTATCCTTTGTAACCTCTCTTCTCTCTCTTGACGTCGTCTCTCTCTCTCTGCTGCCAAGGACTCTTGGTGCTGCCGATAAGATGATGTAAGGAGACCACCCAATGCTGGTCTGAAAACCAAAGAGGATCACATTTCACAGTGCCAGTTTTATTGATTACACTGACAAAAACTGTTAACAATAACAAGGCAAGAAATGTACTTCTGATAAATGGAGGAACTTGGAAATATTCACACAAAGACATATCAACATACTGACATAATACGTCCTTGCTAAATGCTACTTTGAACTGTGATAAAATTTATGTTAATTGCTGAACTTCTGAGGCACAAGTCAAATCCACTTTAACGTATCTCAGCTGAAATATTGCACCGAACATGTATATTTCATAATAGATCTAACCAAAAGTTTGTCCTGAAAAATTGGATTTTGAAATCACAAAGTGCAACACTTTCTTAGCACTTTCAAATACATATTATGCAATGATACTTAAAGCAGATATATCAGACATGCCTAAGGACACCTTTATACAGTGGAGTAAAACTAAAAGAAGATACCAGAATTGTATTTTAGAATCTGGCAGAAGGCTGTATAGGTTTATACCTTAGAGACTACCTGATTCAGAGGCATGAGCTTTCATAAGCAACAACATACTTTGTCAGCTGTTAGGAATGGGCTGGACTGCTCACGCTTCTCTGAATCAGTAAGTCTCTAAGGAGCCATCCTGCCCTACCTTCTGCCGATCTTCAGACTAATATGGCTAACTATCTCTATGCATGTTGGAATCTGAATGCCATTCAGGACGAGGCTTATTAATATCTTCCATAATGTTGCTAAATCAACTGATCACAATTTCATAGTCTTAGTCAGGGATTGGCCACCTATGGCTCAGAGTCTGGATCTGACCTGGAGCTGCAGGGCTTTCCCCCTAACATGGCTGGGTAGTGGGATGCTTAGCTCATGCTGTGTCTGAGAGCTTTGCCTATCTTGCACATGGGTGCTTCATCAGTGTTGCAGCCAGGAAGTGGGGAAAAGCAGTGGTAACTAGGTTCTAGTGCCAGTTCACCTTACAGCTCAGCTCAGTCATTCTGGCCTACCAGCTGAAAACGTTCCCAACAGCACTTGCTGCAATAGCAGGATGAATCCCTTATTGGTAAATGCAGGATTTGATCAGTCAAATACATAGAGAAAATGCTACTGATTACAACACCACTTCATTAAAAAGCAAAAAAGGGCTTAACATTGCCATATCAAATTTAGGACTTGAGTGCTGCATAGTATACTATATGCAGTAGATATAAGCTATGCTACTGGTAGTGTATCTCTAACAGTTTTTCTTCACATCTTTTAAAATGTAATCCAAAAACACAGTTGAGCAAGTCTCTAGCTGAGCAACACAGACCCTTTCCTCAAGAATGAAAAACAGTGGTTTGTCACTATACTGGAGGGCTTCTCAGATACTGACTTTGATGCTAAGTAGCACAGTAACCATAGTCTGTGAATACCATTAAACAAGTAATCCTCACTGAAAACACATGAGGATTTCTCTAGTCTTTGGTTTGGTCTACACATAATTTTTTTTCAGTATAATGACCTTGGTTACAGATTTAATTATATGTAAATACCCTCTAGTGTGAACTCAATTATTAGTACACAAAAGTGCTTTGCACTGGCATGGCTCATCCACTTCTCCTGAAGGAATAAGTTACACTAGTATAAAGTCGCTTTATACAAGTATAACTGAAGCCACATTGTAGGGTTGTACTGCTTTACCTCTACTAGGGGTATGGTTAAGGAGATTAATCTTTTGTACACTGACAAGCCTTTATTTATCTCCTAAAAATATTGTATCATGAGCTTTAAAATGAAATGTTTAGCACACACTGGGTGCATCGACACGTGATTTACTGTAGAGCTGACAAATTAGTTCCACAGTACAGTGTCACCATCTACACATGCACCTGTATTAGGGTCCAGTAAATTAATTAACTCTACTGTAGGACAGTACTATCCAGGACAAGCACTATCCTACAGTGGAGTAGGTATGTGCACTGAAATGCACATGTAAATTGTGATTGGGGCAGGTTGGGGCATGGGGTTGCTACGATGTGGGGGCTGCCTGGTGGCTAGCCCTGCACTGTAGCACCCTTGTGCCCCAAGCAGTCCCTCTGCAGCATGTTGACCCCTTGGACCCCCTGCCAGCCTGGGGCTGCTCCACCCCAGCTCAATGTGCTCTACCCAGGCAAACTGCACTGGAGTTTACTGCTACGTGTTAATTGCATGTGTAGATGCACTCACTAAAAAATAAATGTCCCTTTTCCAAAAAGCAGGTAAAAGCAGCCCAAACTATTCAAAATCACTAAATTAGTAATACACCACAGAAGATACTAACACTGCTTCTATAAACTCAGATCCTCTTCTTCCAGTTACCATACATGCCTCTCTAAGGGCCATATACTGAACCACCTACTGGCTCCATGGGATGGATGAGAGGCATGGGGCTGGTCCACAGGCCAGATCCCACATGTGGAATAAGTGCAGATGCAATCCTGCATGCCAGATCCATCTGCAAGCTAGTATGACCCCGCATACAACCCATCCCCAGGTACTGGATCTGGCCACAGAGAGACCCCATGCACTGGCTTCACTGAGTGCTGGGACAGCCTGCTACACAGGGCCATGTCATCTGGTCTTCAGGGTCCAGAAACTGAACAGCAGGAGAGCTGCAATTAATGCTGCCACTGCTCCTTCAATGCCAAATTTCCAGACCTGTGTGGAGGCCTGTGGCTGGATGTCTTTCTTGCAAGTCTGTGTTTATCCAAACAGGAGTCTTAGAGAAGATGGCTGTTTCACCCCCACTGGCAGTGAGTCAGCATTAGTATAATTTCAATAAATTGAATTTCAATATGTCATATCCCACCCAGATAAACATTACATAAGGGGGTATAAAACTTGATATCCTGTAAGCCTTGTTTTTGGCACTCTGCTGAAGCTACAATATCAATGCTGGATCATAGTCAAAACCATAAAAAACTCCAATATTCCCCAACACTATGAAAAGACTAACCTGATAGTCACGCCTGCATGGTAAATCTTTCCTTGAATGCATTTTAAACAGATTTTGAACTCTGACCTTCCAACCCACAGCCAGAGAAAAAGCTGTCAGCAGAAATACTGGCAGCAATATATTAAGATTCAAAAGGCTAGATCTCTGACACCTAATGTGGTAATATGGGCACAGTATATTGCTCCTGGACTGTTCTAGGAAAGGAAAACTGGGCAGTGTGTCCCCACGCAATCACTTAGAAATGAAATGAGAGAGATGTCAAAACTGTGAACATTGGCTGCTTCCTATCAGGTTAGCACTGATGTATGTTCCATCCAATTGCTTAACACCCTCTTAGCTTCTAGAGCAGTGGGGAGGGGGTCAAACTAATTTGGCCCTGAGGGCCAGAAGAGTGGTGCGGGACCAATCCATGGGCTGGATAGATGGTATAGGGCCAGCCCCATATGCCCACAGAACCTGCACCCCTCATACTAGATCCAGCCAGTGCCTGCTCTGGACAGGTCTGGGACCCAGTGGCTCCTGGACTGCAGGTCCTGCCTGACTATATGGCTGCCCACATAGGAATAAGCCATGATGGTGCTGGCGATCTAGCTCTGTGGCTCTTACCAGCCTAGCTGCCAAGAACCTAGGCCAGGCTAGTGATGCTGGAGTCCCAGAAGTTCTGCGGGAAGAAGCAAGCGCCATGGCCTGCTCTCATTGCAGCAGCCAAGCACTGGTGATATTGAGCTTCTTCCAGTGGTGCTGCTGGGGCTCCAGAGTTGTGGGTCTTGCCCAGGTGCTTGGCTGCTGCCACAGGAAGGTCCACCATCAAGGCTTTTGGCTGGATGACCTAGATCTAATGCTGGATCTGGCCTGTGGGCTGTACGTTTAATGCCTGTGATACAGAATCTAGGCACTATGACTTAGTAACATTTGAAGAAAACCTAGGGAGAAAGGCAAACTGTAAGCTCTTTGAGCAGGATCTAGTTTCTGGGGAGGGGCAGGGTGAGGTGTTGTTTGTTTGGGGGTTTTTTTTACATGTTTGTACATCACAGAGCAGATTGGACACCTGCACAATGGCCTTTGGGCATTACCATGAAGATAAATAATAACATTTACCTAAAGAACAACAGGGGTCTTCTGTGAAGATGTGGAACTCATTCCTTCACAAGGGACTGTTACTAATGTCTGTCCTGAATATTCTTTTACCCACCAGGAGATAGTGGCATCACATGCTTTATACTGGTATGAGAAGCCTTTTGAACTTAATAACCACAACAGTTGTTTCAATTTTACAGTTATAATAACAGCATCCAAGAATGTTGACTAAATTCCTAGAATAAGTCAAGCATGTAACGACTCGGTATACAGTATGCTGCCCAGTTTGGATCTGATCAAGTCAACAACATTTAACTCAAAATGTCACTGTCTGACAGTTATTTTATGGTTGATTAAGAAAAAGGTAGCAATCACAGAAATCTTATTTTATCCTGCCTGCTTCCCAAAGTGCTTGGCACGTGGCACAAATCAGTACCACACACATGCACACCAGTTCACCTATCTCTGAACTGTGGACAACTTTGTACTTCCAGTCCACTTCCGGGTCCACCACCGAGTGTGAGGGATCGTGGGGGCACCTCGGGTGCCCCCCAGACCCAGAAGGCACTAGTTGCCGAGCTGGGGGGAGGGTCCTTCGCGCGCTCCATGGCGAACCTAGAAATGGGCCAGAAGTGCTTCTGGTCCACTTCCAGGTCCACTGCTGAGCAGGTTGGGGACCACACCACATTCCCATGGGATGCTCCATCCTCCCCACCACATCAGCATTCACGAGCCACCTGGTACCTTGAGATATACAGAAAAAACATTTGAAGGTGTGTCTATGTCCGAATCATTGAATCTCTCCGAATCGATTTGGAGAGATTAAAGGGTCTCATGATTTGATTCAAATTTGGAGATTTGGCCGCCAAATCAGGCTGAATCTCTGCTGAATTGAATCAGCAACCGAAGCTTCGCACAGCCCTACTGTCAAGCCTCAAACCATAAGCCTTTTAGAGCAGTAATTGGT